GAGTGATGTGTAACTAATCTAAAAATTATAAATAAGGAATTTTTTAGCAAATTTTATAAGATTGTAAAATTAATATTGTATCTTGAAATATTTAAATCACGTTATATTCTACGCTTCTACGCAGAAATAATTATAGGACATATGCTTGAAATTGAATTATTTAAAAAGCGAATGAATCTTTCAAAAATCGACGGCGTTTCATATGTGTAATATCGATGAATGGTTTAATAATATTCAAAAATTTGAGTTTTACTTGACCTCGTTTTACGGGCTCACCGTAAAGATGTCAGCATTATTAGAGAAAGGGACTTCTTTTGAGAAAACGTGAGGCGAAGGATGATCGATACATCGACAAGACACATTATTATCGGGATTTTCTAGTCTACCAAATTCTTTTGATTCGCTGACATTCAAATATTTAAGCTTGATTTGACTCCGTGTTCGCGAATCGACAAGCTGTCACGCGTGACAGAAAAAGATCGTGAGAGAAGAGCTCTTCTGATGAATAAAAATAAGAGTGTGCCAAATAAAAATGCAATCTGCACAAAATGCAATTAATACGTGACTGCCGAGATCGATCGATTACATTAGCCGAGAAACTTCAAGAATAAAAGTTTTAATTTCATTAATTTCTTCGGATTATCTCCTCGCGCATTGAATAGAATCAGATATCAATCTTTAAAACGGTAAAATCTTATTCGATTTTCAAGATTTCTAAAGAAAATTCATCTTACCATTATTCAGCGAGAGAAAGCATTTTTTTACTTTTCTTATTTCCGATGAAATGCAGAATTTTCTTAAGAAATATACGTAGTATGTCATTTTCCGCAGATTCTTTTATATCCAAATGTACAGTTTTTTTTTTAATTTTTTCAATTCTCAATTTATTCCTATAATAATTTCTGTTCCACTAGTTAAAAATCAAAAGTAAAAATTATCTTGCATCAGAAACCCCAAAGAGAGAAAGAGAGAGAGAAAGAGAGAGACGAAATTATTCGGAATTGACTATTCTCTCGATTCTATCCGATAGTTTCGTTTTATCCCGGTGATGATGTGCAAGGTGAAACATTCCGAAGCACTTTGACACCAAAGAAATCGCGAACGCCGCAGAAACGGATTGGAGCCCCTTTCTCGAATCTTTTCACGTCGGGAATCAAAATCGGAGCACGAGCTATATTCTTTTGTTCATCATCTTTTCGAAGATCGCAAGTCGCTTTTCTCTCGTGCCGCTCAAATATTTATGTCTCTTGTTCGTTCGTTGGCGAATCAACGAGTCGAAATCGGCGACGCGTGCTTATCGAAATTTTCGGGCGTCGACCTCGACCTCGCTGCAAGTAGTAACAGTCACTGCTGGCTCCGTCCAGGACGAAAAGAGGACGTGAGATGCGCGTATCCCCTTCCCTGCCTTCGCCAACCCTTCGGCAATTAAATTACACGGGCCTGGGCTACGGAGAGAAAACAGAAGAAGAAGAAGAAGAAGAAGAAGAAGAAGAAGAGGTGGAGAAGATCCTCGCGCCGCTGGATATTTGCTCGACTCCATTTGCGAAATTAGAGATCTATTCGTCCGCGCGGGAGAGATGGCAATCGCTTCTGGGGAGCAAAGGTGACGCGGCACAATGGTGACGCGTCAATCTCTCATCCCCTGCTTCTCCCTGCTTTCCTTCGGAGAAGCCGTCCTTTATTTCCTCTTTTTAACCTCCCGTTTCTTCCCTCGCGAACCTCCACGGCCTACTTTCTTTCCCATCTCTTGCCATTTGTGTGTTTGCGAGGATTCATCACCGAAAAGGAACTCGCTGGTCGGAACGATTCTGATTAGCAGAACTTTGTTTCGACTATTATTAAATTTGTTTTCCTCTCTGTAAAAATGAAAAATTCCAAAAAATAAAGATGATTTCTCGTTTATGTGAATTATTCGATCAATGCAGAAAATTAATCGGTGCAACCAGCGAGCGAGCGCATTTCTCAGTCAGAAAAAGTTTGAACACAGAAGTGGTTATTCCGTGTCCACGTGTATTGTCATTGAATCGGGGGACGATTTTTGGGTTACGCGAGAAGAGAACTCGGCGTTTCCCTCTCCCCCTTTGGTCGCGCCCCCTTTGGTTCCGGTACTCTTTCCGTGACACTCGCTTCGAGTAAATCCGCGTAAATCTTGCGTCTTGAACGGGATGCGAGGGACGGGACAGGATTGTGGACCGGGTCAATAACCACTCCTCGTCAAATTTTTCAGCAAAGTAATTTTATTTCTCTCAAACCTCTCCTCTCTCCCATCTCTCCTTCTTCTCCCTTTCTTCCATTAACTCAAGATATACACAGGACTGTCGTTTCGTCCTTCGCCTCGTCGAATTCGCGACGTTATTCACAGGACACCCGTGCCAACCGTTCGGCGAGGCGTAACTAACGGTAATAAATAACGGTAATAATACTAATAATGATAATAATAATAATAATCATAGAGTAAGGATAATCGTAATAATAGTGATAAAGACGACGATGATAATAGCGGTGTCCACAATCGTACAATTATAATGACGACAGTTTAGATCATTTACAAATCGGAAAAATCAAGCTCTCCTTCGCGACTTCCGCGCGTCCCTTATCTTTCTTTCCTCTTCTACCTCTTTCTTCATATATATCTATATATATTAGATCCTGTCGATCGCGTTTCTTTGTAGGTGTGCTATTTACAAAATTCACGGGTCTAATCTCTAATCTATTTACAACCATAGAGTGCGTCCGGCTGCCGTGCCCGCGCAATCGACGAATAAGGCCCCGCGCGTTCCCTCTGTTAACCCCGTAACTTCCTTCCGCGTCACGCTTCCGCTCTCCATCTCCTCTCTTCGCACGTCGTGCACTCTTTCGATTTATTAGGTTGTGGAGATTGCACGGGCACGGCTCCGAAGTAACAAAATAAATACTGACTAGCCCGCCCTGGCGCCTTCTGCGTCGGCGGCGGCGGCGAGCGAGCGGACGAAAGCTTGCGTGACTCGGACGTTTAATTGATAAATTAACGATAAGCTGACTCTTTTTTCCCTTTCGTGTGTCATGTCATCGAGTATGCGAACAAAAGAATCGAGAAATTGTTTGCTCTGCGAGAGATTTAGGTGCCGCTCGATGGGCGGCCGCTTACTTCTATTGTTATGTGTAATATTTTTTTCCCGCGGCTCTATTCGGATTACAGGATGCTTTCTCCTCTAGCAATTATTATCTTTATATATAGTTTAGATAAATAGTAAATTGTTTCCTCTTTAGTTTAAGCATATAGTGCACGTACAAAGTTGCCTTTTCTCTAACTACTTTCTTCTCTAGAAACGTGAAAAAACTAGCTACAGTCCCTTTCAAAGTGCGAAAGCATCGTGTGATCTGAATTGTTTAGAATCTTCGCAACATATGTAACTTTTAATCAAGAGTACGGACGGTCAATCTTTAATAAATCACAAAAATTAGTCAGCGTTCAAGAAACACAAATTGTTTACACTGTTCTTTGCAATGTTTCCTTCGAGAATCCAATAAAAGAAAACTTAAACCTATCCTTTAATTAAACACCGACTAATCTTGCTCGCGATTTATTAAAGCCGCTCGATGTAATTACAAGACACTGGAAATATCGAGAATCGAAGCTCTTATGTGAATTACAGCTCGAATGTTAAATAAGAAATCGGCCAGGGCTCTCTTGCAGAGAAAACAGAAATCGAATCACGAAGCACACACAGCCTTAGTGTCAATGTCAATATATGGAATACCTTGTGTTCCGCCTCCGTCCGCTCGCCGGAAGCCGAAGGGCGCCAGATAACCTTACGACGATAGCCTTAGACGGGACACAGCTGCGACGTCCCTTCTCTAACGTCACGTCACGTCACGTCGCGTCGCATCGCGTCGCGTCGCGTCACATCACGGCAACAGGAAGATAGCTCGGTAATCGGATGTCGCTCGGTCGACCTTGACGCGAGATATGTCTCGGGGAGGGGACGCGAATGTCCCACGGGGGATCCGAGGGTACGTCTCTACGACGCCGCGACGAGACTGTCGGCCGACGGCCAGGACGGCGCGTGTCACGTGTCCTGAACGCGCAGGTAGACGTCCTGCTCCGGCTGGCTGAGGAGATGGTGTATCTGCTGCATGGTGCAGAGCGGACAGACCTCCTCCTCGGTGCCGTCGGCGACGAGCCTCCTGGCGGCGCCGGGCGCCTTCCTGCCGTTGTAATCGATGATGTACGAGTAGCCGTCCGAGTCGACCGAGCTCGATCTCGCGGTCGTCGATCGCATCAGCCGCTTGCCGGGGGGGTTCGCGGTCTCGGCGCGAGCGTACCTCGCGGCCTCCAAATCCGAATCTTTGAAATCTATGTACGAGTAGCCCTCGGAATCCACCGAGGGCCGTCTGCGACTCGTCTCTCGGCCCGCGAGCTTCGTCGGCGCCGTTGATCCGGTAGGGCTCGATGGTGTCCGAGCGGGGGAGGCGCGCGGTCGGTGAGTGGGAGTGATGGGGATGCCGGAATCGCGGGGCCTCGCGGGAACCCGCGCGTCGGCCGGATAGCCTTCGGCGACCAGGCCGACGTCGAGATCCCGACACGGGGGAAACTCGTCGCGACGGATCGCCGTGGGCGCGGGTGGAGCGGGAGGCGAGGGAGGCCGTTGGCTCGTGATCAGGGCGTTCTGCGTTGCCAGCAGCAGGTGGCTGTCTCGCAAGAGATTGCTCTCGTTTCGCAGCAAGAGCGGACTGTTGGCGCCGCCCGGGGCTAATCGAGGGCTGGCGGACGATTGAGCGGTGGCGGCGATCGACAGGGGGACCCCCTGCGACTTGGCCAGGAGGGCGCGCGGCGTCCGGTAGCCGCCCAGGACTGCCCGCGACGGCTTGTCCTGGACGCGCAGTATCGACCTGGGATCGCGGTAGTCGAGATAGTCGAGGTGATGCGGCTGCGGCGGTCTCGTTTCCCTGCGTGCAGGTAGCAGCGGTGGTTCGCGGGATGGCGGGGGGGCCCGCGGTTGGCCCTCGTGATTTCGTACCTCGATCGTCGGCGCCTGGCCGTGGCCCGCCGGCAGGTGGTTGTGCAGCTGCGAGTGCGACACCGCGTGATCCGGCAGATCCTCGTAGAGGACGGCGGCGCCGCCGCCACCGCCGCCGCCGCCGCCGCCGCCGCCGCCGCCACCGCCGCCACCGATGCCGGGGCCCGGATGCGGCTGGCCGTCCGGCAGCACGCGGCCTCGCCCGGCGACTGCCGCCGCGCCCGCTGCGCTCTTGCACGGCAGCAGGTTTTGCACTTTCCGCTTGTGCCTGCAACAGACAAGAAGAGGACATTTTTTCAGACATTTTCAGAGCGATAGAAAAATATTTCGTCAAATTGTGCGTTGATTACGCGAATCACGAGACTAGCGTGTCCAAACTGCAGGAGAATTGTGTAACAAGACGATAAATCGATAGCTATATCTATCTTGGTGGTGGTTTAATCAAAATTGTGCACTAGGTATGCTTTAGGAATAAAAAAGATGGTTTTTCTCTTCTCCCTTATTTTCGACCCTCGTATAGAGATTCGGACATCGCAAGTTAAATTCGGTCAGCCGGGAGTCTATACATCGTGCCTGGTTTCATTCGAAACATCATCTCGGAAAGCTCATAGCGAATTCCTCAAGTTGGACGAGCGTAGGATGTTGATATTCTACTTTGCTCTCATCTCCTCTCCCCTTTCCTACTCTCCCTCATTTCCCCGCAGCCGACCGGTCCCCGTCGACACACCAGATTAGTTGGGAGCTCGTTGCAATTGTTTGTACAGGCGGGTGCTTTGCTGTGGGCGCACTCGAGAGCTTTCCTCGGTGTAAACTTTAATGAATTGGGCACTGCGTTTCCCTATCGACGTCGTTTTACGTATATATAGGGTATTTCGGAAGCGTTGCGCTTTATTTCAATTCATATATTCTTTCATCGTTATCAAAATAATCGAAAAAATATCGAGCTATCGGCAATTATCGAGTCACGTGCGAAAGATTTATCGGGTGAAAAATTTTTCTCGACTTTACAAGGATTTAGAAATAATAAGTTATTTAATAGATAATAACGTTTCGTTGATTTTATTTTAAATGAATTTCATTTTTAATAGAAATTTAATCGTCGATAAATTTGACACGAGAGATCGTAAGAAGGATTCGATTATTCTGAGACACCAAGGTACAACGGCGGCTCTTCGCCGCATTCATCATCTCCGACGCGAATTAACATATGCTCGTCGAGCGCATAATAACGCGGTCGTGATTACTACCTGGCCTATATCCGCGCGATTGTACAAATATACGTGTGTAATATGTACATAAATTGGCCTATGCTCTCACTTTGAATTAGCGTTGCATCTTGCATGAAATGCAGACGATTTAATTCGGATCTAATATGGGGATAGACATTACATGTTTACATCGTTAAGTCACATCGTTAAATCACTGCACTCTTGTAGCACAGAACAGAATAATTGTTCATTTTGCAAAAGGAAAATAGTCGGAGAAAAAAATCTATTTTAAGGTTCCATTAAGCGTATTTTTTTAGCTTTCAGCGAAATTACCTTTCCGAATTTTATTTTAAAGTTTTTAAAAGTGAGCATAAAGATTTGATTTAACGCACAATTCTTCGAATTTATAGTGAACATTTTTACTTATCACTAATAATAATGAGGGAAAATATAAATTAAGCAATATTGAGTAAATAATATTTATATTAAATATATAGTTGTGATGTTTCTTTTTTAGTTAGTTTTCTATAGAAATTTGAGATACCCAATTATTCAACCTATAAAAACCTTGGAAAACACAAATATATTTAATTGATTTATCTGCTCGAATTTCATAATTTAAAGTAAAATCCCAACAGATACAAATTGTCAAGATAAATTTATTTTGTTCATGTAATTTAATATTTTTGCATTGCAAACTTTTTTAACGATACAATAATTTAAAAAAATATTCAAACGCACGTATTGAAATAAAATAAACAAAATAACATATTTTTTTCTTTTCATATATACATACACGCGTTTCTTATATAGTATGTACATCATATTTCAAGTAAAATATGTCTAACGATGGAGCGTGAGCTGCGAAAATTCGCACGATGAAGAATACGCACGAGTGATACACGCGCCTCTCTGACCTGTCCATCACGGTTCACAGTCGTCTCCTCGACTATGTTCGCTAATCGTGGCTCGCGCAGGTTAAAGCGTTTAAACTCGGATCGTCCGGCTGAGGGGATTCACTTATCCGAGAGGATTCGCGGTATAAACGCCGACTCTGACGAGGGTCTGCGAGCTCTGCCAACCGGAGATAATGACGCCGGAAACATACGGCCGCTGATCTCCACTGTACTGCAGAGCTTCTACCTTTTTAAAGGATTTCTTTGTCAACAGCGACGTGTCGTTGATGCTGCGTAGTCGTAAATCACGAGAGAGATCGTGTAGAATTTACTTAATTTGTTAATTCGTAGCACAATAGAGTAATTAATAAAAATAATGTGCGCATTCTCTCTGAAATTTTCAGAACATGTCGGTAAATTTTTCAAAAAATGCTCTTTTTTTAAAGATTCAATAATAAAAATTCAAATTTTCAAATTTTTCTCTATACAATTAACGTAGAGAATATCAGCTGTTTGATATAAATGGAAATGTCATTTTTGCAAAATTCATATTTTTAATTTCGTATCTCGACGATTAATTAATAATGATAATACTGTCAATCAAATCAAATTTGTTTTTAGACTCGAAGAATTATAAAATCATACTTTTGTACTATCCTTACTTAAGAAATTTCCGCAGAAAGATAAAAATGACGACTTTACGAATTCAAAATGATTTCAAAACTTATCTCTTCGTAATTATTTCATTCTTTTTCTAAGAATTCGAAATTGCAGATTAAACGTTGAAAAATTTTTGACACAAGACCCTGATATCTTTCAATCGTGCAGCCTTACACAGACACCTGTGATATTTGCATGTACACGTTCATGTATATTCAAAGACCGGCGTGCCGCTCGACTCGCAAAGTAGTTTACCCTTCAAGTTTTAATTATCTAATTAACTCCGTCAGTTCGATAATATTTGCCCGTGTAATTAAACCGCAAGCTAAGGTTAACAACTCGCGGTGCACTTCCAGCAGTAGGTCGGAGTTGAGAAAACGAAGAGATCCAACTCTTCTAGTTGATAAGAAGTAAAGAAGAAGGATGATGATGGTACGTTGATGAAAAAAGAATAAAAATGTAGACTGATCGATCATCAACTGAATACAATTTCTGCTTCGTGATTGACTTTGTGTATAAAACGTTATGTAAACATTCGTAAACAATTAAGAGCAAATTTGTTCATACGAATAATTGCACTTACACATAAATATACAAATTATTTAGCAATAAAGGCGATAAGAATACTACTCACAATTCATGAAAATTTGATTTTTTTTATATACATCTATATTTGCGGCTTTATTATTATAAATTATTTTTTAAAATTATTTTTTTTAATTTATAAGAGTGACATACACATGTATCTTTATGATATTTCAATTTAATATAATAAATGATAGCTTCGATTATCTTTGATGAAATTTCATCATGACTTTATACATATATTCTCAGTGGAATATCGATCGCATTTTCATCCACCACGTCAATTCTTCCCCCCGCGCTCCGTCACAGTCATCGTAATGATTTTTCATTACGCTCGCTCGCGACTATTCTGCCGCGCCCCGTCTTCCATTTCCTAATGGATTTCATTTAATCATGATGATACGGGGAACGAGACGGTGATGTGTTCAAAATGCGACAGAGCAGAGGAAAAGTTCGGCTGGCAGGCGACGTAGGAAGCGTTTCTAGACGGTTTCATACGTCCATTGGTTGTCGAAAAAAAAGCGCAGGAATTACATTAAGCTTTTGCTCCGAAAATAAAAAAAATCTTGGGCAAGAGTTACATCTTTAGATCTATTTATTTGAAAAGAGAGCACGAGAGAAAATATTCGATATATTTTTAGGAAAAAAATTCTTTATATCCTTTGAAAAGATATACGAGTATTTTAACTTTAATCTCTTCTTTTTAATGTTCGACGAGACGTTTCCGAGTGCGAGGGCGAGAGGCTGAATCTGTGGGACACGAAGACGCAGGACAACGCAGGACACGACGCTGCTCGGGATCTTCCTCGGGAAAGTGGAGTCGAGGGAGTACCAAAGTGAATTCGCTCGACGCTAAGCGCTGAATAGATCATTTAAGCCGAGCTTTTAACTCGAGCTAATTAAATACCGTCCCTTCGTAGCTCGCTCCTGTACTTTCTCTCTCCTCGTTTCCTCCGATTTTCCCGACTCTCGCATATCCTGGTAACGCAACCGGTGCACGTGGCAATTGCATAGGTCTGCTGGTCGTTCGAATGCACCTTTGATATCAGCGTGGAAATAATACGGAAACTAAAACGTCGATAACTGAGGGAATCTTAAATATGAGCAATCACGCTGAAAGTGCTGGCAACTTTACTGGAGTTGACGTTTTGAAATTATTCAATTTATTTACTGTTTTATTATTAATGCATATTTTTATTGCTTTTATTATATATATTTGATGTATTTTTACTTTCCTGTATTTTATTTTGTTCGTTTCTTTTTTGTTATGCGCATATTTCTTTATTATTTTTATCAATATATATTATAAATATATAGTATTATTTTTATCTACATTTTATATATATTTTAATCGTATTTTTAATTTTTATATTCTATTAAAGTTATAATCTCTAACTTTTTTTAATAATTATATATATATACTTATTTATTTATTATATGATGATTTTAACAAGAATAATTTTACATATTATTAAATTTGAAGTTGCGACTAAGTCTGTTGTAAATTATATTTTCAAAATTATTTACATGTACTCTGAAAACGACTGCCTTATTTCCTCACTTCTTATTATTCTCCACCGCAGGCATACATATATGTATAATGACTTTATAATCTTGAAGCGGCGAGTTGCGGCGCGGATCCGAGAGCAATGCGGGGATATTTAGGAGCGGATTAGCGAGCCCTCGTACACCGTAGGGCCAGATCCGGTATACTCGCACGTACGTGCACCGAAGACATCGAGATCGGTTATAAAGCTGGAGCTCCGAGACACTTGGATCTCAAAGTTTACTCGCTGTTGTGCGCGCGCGCTCGAGTTTCTCGCGAGCTTCTCGAAACTACAAATTTTGCATATCAATGCGCTCTGGATACACCCCGTCGACTCGATAAACGATTTTCCGCCCTCGAGCTCGCTCTCGAC